CTTAAAATAGAATGATCCCATTTTTCTTGATATATATGTATTCCAGGTTAGTCTGCTTGATTTTCCATAATGAAATATTACAGACTGAAATATCACAGGCTTAAACAACAGAAATGTATTTTCTCACAGTTCTGGAGGCTAGGAATCTGAGATCAAGGTGCTGTCAGGTTCAGTTCTGGTGAATCCACATCTCTTCTTTGTAGATGGTTAGTAGATGGCTGCCTTCTTGCTGTATTTTCACATGGACTTTCTGCTGTGCATGAGATGAAAGAAAGTGCTCTTTGGTGTCTCTTCCTTTTCTTATAAGGACACCAATCCTGGCCAGGTGTGGTGGCTCACGGCTGTAATCCCAGCACTTTGGGAGGCCGAGGTGGGCTGATCACCTGAGATCAGGAGTTCAAGACCAGCCTGGCCAACAGGAATTTAGTAGAAACTTCATCTCTACTAAAAACGCAAAAATTAGCCAGGCGTGGTGGCATGTGCCTGTAGTCCCAGCTACTTGGGAGGCTGAGACAGGAGAATTCCTCGAACCCAGGAAGCAGAGGTTGCGGTGAGCCAAGATCATGCCACTGCACTCCAGCCTGGGTGACAGAGCAAGACTCCAGCCTCCCCGGCCCCCCCCTAAAAAAAAGGAGAAAGAGAAAAAAAGGGGGACACCAATCCCACCAATCCTATCAGATTAGGGCCTTATCCTTATGACTTCATTTAACCTTAATTACCTCCCTATCGGTTGTATCTCCAAATTCAATCACATTAGGGGTTAGGACTACAACATATGAATTTGGGGGAAACAAAATTTAGTTCACAACACATTCTAATGAAATAAGTTTTAAATAAAGAAAACATCAATAAAATAATAAGAACAAATGTAAGAGTGTGTGCAAAATGAGAGAAATGTTAACTAAAAATCTTCAAAGTGAATACAGAGTATGATGACCTTTCCTGGTGCAAATTAAGTGCACAATAAATATTAGTTGAATAAATGAATGAGATGTTCAAAACAACTTCATAATTACCCCAAGACACCAATTTTCAGGAACATTGAGTCAAACATTCTTTGGCCCTTTCAGGCTGCTACTCTACATAGAAAAAATGGTAAAAACACAGTCATTCTACTTGTTACTTCCTACTCTCAAAAGAATATCTAAAGCCACTGGGGAATTTTAAGTGCTTATTGAAATAAAATGTATTAGTATTATGACTATGTTTATGCCGATACGTTTATTCATTCTTTTTCCAATTGCATTTAGAGTTGGGAAGCACTGCCGTTGGTTGTGTGTGTTGCTTTTTGTGTAAATAGGCATGTATGTGTACATATGGGTGCATAATATAATTTTACAACTTACGGAATATTTTTTCTTTTTTTTTTTTTTTGAGACGGAGTTTTGCTCTTGTTACCCAGGCTGGAGTGCAATAGCGCGATCTCGGCTCACCGTAACCACTGTCTCCTGGGTTCAAGTAATTCTCCTGGCTCAGCCTCCCGAGTAGCTGGGACTACAGGCGTGGGCCACCATGCCCAGCTAATTTTTGTATTTTTAGTAGAGACGGGGTTTCACCATGTTGACCAGGATGGTCTTGATCTCTCTCTCTTTTTTTTTTTATTGCATTTTAGGTTTGGGGGTACATGTGAAGAACATGCAAGATTGTTGCATAGGTACACACATGGCAGTGTGGTTTGCTGCCTTCTTTCCCCTCACCTGTATCTGTCATTTCTCTACATGCTATCTCTTCCCACCTCCCCACCCCCCGTCCCTCCCCCATTTACCCCCAAATGGACCCCAGTGTGCAGTGCTCCCCTCCCTGTGTCCATGTGTTCTCATTGACCTCTTGACCTCGTGATCCACTTTAGCCTTAAAATAGTTACCTTTTAACAGGATTAGGTACCATTACATTTCTGGGCCAATCGAATATGATTCACTAGTAACAAAAATAAACAACAGAGACACATCTGTAGCACTTCCAGATTAACAAAAGAAATGCTCTAGAGAGTGCTGCTAACAGGGAGTGGAGAAACAAGAGTTGGGACCATAAATTCTTTGCAGCATATTCTATACAGATCATGAATAAGTCAGGTTAGGAAATTGTGCATCATAACATCCATATGTACATTAACATATGTACAAACCGATGTGTACAAACAATACCATAATGAGCAAGTGAAATGTGATAAACAACCCAAAATCTTCACAGCATTTAGGAGTGAATGTGAAAAGGGAGTGAAGTGAGACTTGGTTGAGTTATATCTATACTTTCCCAAATTTGCCTAAAATGTATAGGCTTTATGGTAGACTGTGACATACTTTAGCAACAATTATAATTTTGTGCTATTTTCACTCAAAGGTATTCCTCCAAAAATATTCATGTACTTAAAGTGAGATTTTTTTTAGATGTAACTTTTGAGGGCAGCTCTGAATTTATTGTTAATTATTGCCTAAATGTGGGAAAGGAAAAAGGGCCTGCTCCTTTCTCCCCTAAAAACCTCCCAAATTAGAATATAATGCTCTTTGCCTAATTCCTATCTGTTATTCAACAAGATAGAAATAGGAGGTTTAAAGAAACTTGAACCAACTGGGATTTTTGAGAAATTAGTTAAGTCGCTGAAAAATGAATTAATTCTTAATTAAGAATTAAAAGAAATCTAACAAAGTTTGCAAACGAAAATAATGAATAGAAATGCAAAATACTATTTAAAGAGCAAACAGATTTTATATACCTGTTTTACAAAATACTTGTTAAGAAAAACGGGGAGAAAATGACAGCCTTTGCTGGGATTACACACCTTTCTAACCAATGTTCTTAAAGATGAGCAGTGAACTCTTACTTGCCCATATCCTGTAGCTCCTACCTACTCACTTTGTGTGTAGCATGAGATGCCACTGGCCTCCTTTTTCAAACTCTTACCTTCCCTGATTTTTGTGACGTTTTTCTCTTTTAGATCTATCTAATTGCTACTTCTCTGTTTCTTTTAAGATATGCCGTAAATGTCAGTAAATTCCAAGGTTGTGACTTCCCAATCTTTTCTTGTTCAGTACAGGCTTTTACTGGTAATCTCATCCACTATATCACTCCCACCATATCCTCTAGACAGGTGATTCCGACCTAGTTCAATATCTACCACTCAGTCCTCCCTTCCAATTTCCAGACCCGATTCTCAACTGCTTGCTGTACCAAATGAATTGAAAGAGATCTTGATTCTTAATTTACAACTAAACTTTAACATTTACTAAACAGAATGTATTAATATTTCTCTTACAATGTATGCTTCCATATGAGTTGCCCATATGGTATCATAATTATATGTTTTGCTAACTCTGTTAGTTTCCTAGGACTGCCATAACAAATTACCACAAACCGGGTGACTTAAAACAACAGGTATTTATTTTCTCACAGTTCTGGAGCCCAGAAGCCTGACTTCAAGGTTGGTCCTTCTGAAAGAGCTGAGGAAGAATTTGTTCCATGCTCTCTCTCTCCTAGCTTTTGGTGGTCACCAGCCATCCTTTGTGATTGTCTTAGAATCTATAAACAGTTACAGATGTGATATATTTGTGGGCCATGTAGGAAAGGGGTTCATGGAGAGAGGCTCATACTTGTACTAAGGTTTTCTTAAGTGGAATCTACGAGTTACCCAGATCCACTGTGAACCCCATGGGCTATCACTTGGAGGTGAGATGAGAAGGGCAGATACGAGGAAATGAGAATGGACGGAGCCTATGTGGACCCATTAGACCCCACGTCAGACATTAGAAGGAAGATAAAGAGTGAGAGCTCTGAGGGAAATCTGTGAGGAAACTCAGGTCTTGATGAAGTATCCTAATGTCTACTCCACACTCCATGCTCGTTTGTTTGTATAATTTCTCAGAAAGGAAGTTCATTGGCTGGGGATGGTGGCTCATGCCTGTAATTCCAGCACTTTGGGAGTCCAAGGCAGGTGGATCACCTGAGGTCGGAAGTTTAAGACCAGCCTGGCCAATACAGTGAAACCCTGTCTCTACTAAAAATACAAAAGTTAGCTGGTGTGGTGGTACATACCTGTAGTTCATTGAAGCACAGCAGCTACATTATTTTTCTATTGCTGCATAACAAATTACCACAAACTTAAGTAATTTAAAACAATAAATAAAAGTTGAAGATAAAACAAATAAATAAAAAAAAATTTTTTTAACTACCCAGTTATTAGCAAATGGGTCCAAATCAGAAGTCTGGGTGTGCTCAGCTGGGTTCTGGGCTCCGGGTCTCACAAGGCTGAAATCAAGGTGTTGGCCAGGCCAGACTAGGCTCTTATTGGGAGGTTCTGGTTAAGAATTTACTTCCAAGCTCATTCAGGTTATTGGCAAAGTCAGTTCCTTGCAGTTGTACCTCTGAAGTCCCTGTTTTCTCGTGAACATCTCACTCTCAGCCTCCTAGAGGCCTCATGTAATTCTAACCAAGTGACCCTCTTCTTCATGATCAGCCATGAAGGATTTCTCTCAAGTAAAATCTCTCTTGTGCTTCAAATCTCTGCCTTCATGCTGTGTCAGTAGCTGGAGAAACTCTACTTTAAAAGGCCTGGTATTAGATCAGGCCCACCTATGTAATCTCCTTACCAACTGTGCCATATAACATGGACTATTGATGGGAATAAAACCACCGTATTTATTGTCCCTGGGATTATGCAGGCACATATACCAAGGATCAGGGAATCTTGAGGCCATCTTAGGCATCTGCCTGCCCCCCCATCTGTAGCTTTACTTGTTCTAGTGATACAACGTAATGACAGAATCACCATCATCAAGATCCAATACAGTCAAGAGTGACCACTAGCTATTTGTGGATTCTAATTTTTATAATAACAAATCTGTGTTCAACCAGCACTATTTTCAGTAAACCTAATGTTTGGATTGCACTATTCAATTGCAAAAAGGGGCAGTTAATAATCTTAAATATAAGGTGAAAAGACTTAATCCTTTCCTGTATCTATCTCTTCGTGGGCCCATCGCTACTGCCATTTTTTTCTCATTTAGCCCACAAAACAAACCGCCTGAACCTCCTGTTATAAATGAGTATGCTGATGCTCAACTACACAACCTAGTGAAAAGAATGCGTCAAAGAACAGCCATCTACAAGAGAAAGTTGGTAGAGGGAGATCTCTCCTCACCTGAAGCCAGCCCCAAGACTGGTAAGCATTGTTTTCTCCCTGTACTGGGAAGAAGGAAGTGATGAGGGGACCTGTGTTTTGCAGATGTTTCAGTTTGGATCTCCCAAAAGCAGATCCTGTGAAAATGATTTACGTACAGTTTATTTTTAGAGTGATCCAGGAAGGTGAGAGTGGTGAAACAGAGAAGAAAGTTAAGCCAGTACAATGGGTAAGTAAGAGGACCACTGGTCAGGGGTCTGTGGGTCACACCTATAATCCCAGCATTTGGGGAGTCCAAGACGAGAGGATTGTTTGAGCCTAGGAGTTTGAAACCAGCCTGGGTAACACAGTGAGACCCTACCTCTTAAATTTTTTAAAAAAACTTTTAAAAAAGAAAAAAAAGTAAGAGGATCACTGCTGTGCCACTGGGGCTTTATACAGCTGAAAAATTGTGGCTCATACTTGAGAATTATCTGAACGGAAGAGGAGGAAACCAACTGGTGCTGGGGCTTGATACTGTTACCACCCCAGCACTTAAAGTAAACCTGCAGGAGAAAATCCTCCAACAGATGCAGGAAACTCTCCCACAGGTGACCTCAAGGCTTAGTATATATGTGTAGGTCACAAACAGTATCTTCTATAGCAAATTTTATTGTAAATATTTAAAATACCCATATTATGCAAAGTATATATTATTTAAAAAAATACAGGAATATTACCTGGGTATCCAACAGAGCAAAGGACATCAACAAACTAATCACATAAGGGGAGGGACTATTATCAACCTCCCTAATAATTACAGAAACGTGTTTATGAAAAAATAATCAATATGATAACATGGAGCACAAAAGTAATATATCCTATGATTACATCTGTGTAAAATATTTTTATACGTATGGAAAAAGAATAGCTCAAAGCTTGGATGTTTAACATATCAATGCAAATCAAGTTGATAATTACAGGGGATTGAATTGAGCTTCCTTATAGCTCTGTATAAGAGAATGTGGGTTTTCAAAATCAACTGTGAATTGTGTAACAATTCCTTTTTAAACAGAAGAAGCTAAAAGAAATCATAGTAATTATAGTCTGGTAAAGATATATTGAAAAGAATATTGTTTGTGATCTGTGTGATGGTAAAGAAGCAGCAAACCAAAACCTGTGAAATGATGTACGTTTGCAGTGTTTCTGATCTCTCTATCGATGCTCCAAAGCATGTAAAAATCAAGCTTGTATTTAAAATATTCTATTTGTAACACCTTTGTGACACTTTATTAGTGAGCTTTAAACCTGTTACATATTTCCAAATTCCAGTGTTTTCATTACCTGTATACTTTCATAAATGTTACTATTTTATTCCATTTTTATCATATACTTTAAGACATGTAATACTTTAAGATGATTTTTTATACACACACATACACAGAGTGAAATAAATGTCATTACTTTAAATGTCATGAAGGTTTTGCTTCATCTATCTGTATCAAAAGAGGAAGATTCATGAATGTTCTGACTTTAAGAAATTCAAGTTTTCATATATATACTTTAAGTTCTGGGACACATGTGTAGAACATGCAAGTTTGCTACATAGTTATACATGTGCCATGGTGGTTTGCTGCACCCATCAACCCATCGTCTGTGTTAGGTATTTGTTCTAGTGCTGTCCCTTCTCTTGTCTCCTACCCCGACAGGTTGCAGTGTGTGATGCTCCCCTCCCTGTGCTCATATGTTCTCATTGTTCAACTCCCGCTTATGAGTGAGATCATGTGGTGCTTGGTTAAGAAAGTTAAGTTTTTAACTAAGCTAACTTAACCTCTTTAAATGTTTCATCTTTTTCTTTCCTATGAAGCAAAGCCTACAGCTGTACTACCAGTAAAAGAAAGTGATAAGCCAACAGAAGAACATTACTACAGGCTGTTATGCTTCAAAGTCAAGAAGATGCCTTTAACAGAGTACTTAAAGCAACTTAAACTTCCAGAAAGCATAGATTCATACACAGGTATTATCAAAGGATGAACTATCAGAGTGGGAGGGCTGATTATCACCAAGAAACCCTGTGACTCAAAGTCACAGATAGCTTCTATTTTCCTTACCTCATATTCTCGATCTAACTAGAAAGCAGAATTTAAATTATACAACATGCAAAGGATCATTCGCGCATCTTTAGTGAAGACAGTAAATACGATATTCCTGCCTATGTTTGAAAAGCTGTCCAGATCCTGCCCTGTTCCTGATTACCTTTGAAATTAAGACCCCAAAGTACGCTACAATATGTACCCTGATATTCACGCACATTATAATGACGTGTCAGTCTTCTTCCATGGCTTCACAATTGTTGATTATCCTAATTGAACAAAGCCTTCCCTGTGGCCTCCCCTAGGCTGAGAAGGGCTATGCATGAAGGGACATGGACTACGTTAATGGGCTGATCCTGTGCCCTCCCATTCAGTGCCATACCCCTTCTGGCAGAAGGCGGTCTTTCTGCCACCTGCTCTGGGCAATCAATCCTGCAACTTAACTACTAATGAACTAAAGATCTGTGGCTGCAGTGATGCCTGTGCAAAGTCCTTCTGGCTTTTCTTGAAATTCCCCTTTCCTGATCCAAATAACACAGTTGCCTGTGGGGACAGACTCAGAGCAGCCACTTCTCCAGGAGACTGGAAGGAAACTGTCCACTTTCAAAAGAGCTGATAAGATCACTTAACATCTCTTTTAAAGCCCGGGGCCTCCCGCTCCAGAGGCAGAATTGTGTTTAATGTTTAATAGATCCTCCCGTGGCAAATCACTCTCTAGAGGGTAGTGCCCCAACCTCACCAGACTAAGCCAGAGAATTCTTTGTGCGTTTGCTCTATGACATTTGGATTGCTCCACGTGCTGTTTTTCCAGATCGACTCTATCTCCTGTGGCTCTTGCTTGTCACCCTTGCCTATAACTGGAACTGCTGGTTTATACCACTGCGCCTCGTCTTCCCATATCAAACTCCGGACAACATACACTACTGGCTTATTGTGGACATCATATGTGACATCATCTACCTTTATGATATACTATTAATCCAGCCCAGAATCCAGTTTATAAGAGGAGGAGACATAATAGTAAGTGGGGTTCGGGAAAGGCAGAAACTGAAAAATGAATAACATCTAATTGGGTTACAAAAAATAAATTAACAGCATTGTTTTATTTAATGTTTGACTGGCTATCTGCATGGATAACTGCAAGAAATCATGAGCAATAATAATAATAAAACAATTACAAAACAGCCATCGAGTGTTCACAATGTGCTGGAGAACATGCACCTCCCTGTGTCTTACTTTCCTCATCTTTAAAGTTAAAATAACAAAAACACCTTCATAATGTTAGATTAAATAAATTGAGGCCCATGCAGTACCTAGACTGTGTCTGGTGCATAGTGAATGAGTATTAAATGTCAGCTATTATTATTGTTCTAGTTAATTAATTTATAATATCTCAATCCTTTCAATGACACTATGAAAAAGATGTTATTAGCCCCATTTACAAATGAGGAAACCGAAGTTTAGAGAGGGAGGTTATTTGCTGCTTAAAGGACAAAGCTAGATTGTAGTGGAGCCAGGATTCTAACCCAGGCCTTGACTCTATAATCACCCAGCTTCATTTTAGCAAGTCTTTCAGAATTTGACAATATTTGAGCATACAAAGAGAGTGCCAAATCTGAAATGTTGAAACTATTTTACCTAATTTTTTTTTTTTGAGACAGAGTTTCACTCTTGTTGCCCAGGCTAGAGTGCCATGGCACAATCTTGGCTCTCTGCAACCTCCGTCTCTCAGGTTCAAGCAATTCTCCTGCCTCAGCCTCCCAAGTAATTGGAATTACAGGCGTGCACCACCATGCCTCGCTAATTTTTTGCATTTTTAGTAGAGATGGCGTTTCACCATGTTGGCCAGGCTGGTCTCAAACATCTGACCTCAGGTGATCCACCCGCCTCAGCCTCCCAAAGTGCTGGGATTACACACATGGAGGCACCACGCCCGGCCAGAACTAAATATTTTTTAAATGTATCAATTATCCGTACAAAAAGAAGAAACCATTTAACATATAGCATATATTCCTCTGGTAATCAAACCTCAAACAGTCTGTGAAGCAGTTGGTTTCTATCACATTAGAGTCTACTATTCACCACAATATTTTTTAAAGTAAGATAGGTATCATTTCACTCATTAGAACCTACTCAGCCTTCTTAGCAGATAGCCGAGTGTTGTGAGAAAGTACGAGGCCGTAAGATTTTAGAACACTGTGCCTTGTTTGTCACTTTCAGTTGGAACTGAGTGCAGTGCCTGCACGTAGTAGAGTAATCAAGCACAGGGTTTTAGGCTTGGGCACTTTGGAAAAGCCTAACTTAAAAAGCAAAGCTTTCATGACCCTTTTTTTTTTCCAATTTTTTTTTTTTTTTTTTTTTTTTTAGATTCAGGGGATACACATACAGGTTTATTACCTGGTTATCTTGGGTGATGCTGAGGTTTGATCCAGGTACTGGACACAGTGCCCAAAAATTAGTTTTTCAACTCTTCCCCACTTCCTCCTTGCCTTACTTCTCCCTCTAGTAATCCCCAGTTTCTATTGTTCTGATCTTTATGTCCATAAATACCCAATATTTCACTTTTAAGTGAAAACATGCTGTATTTGTTTTTCTGTTCCTGCATTAATTTGCTTAGGATAAGGGGCTCCAGCTGCATCCATGTGCTTGCAAAGGACATGATCTCATTCCATGGTATATATGTGCCACATTTTCTTTATACAGTCCACCATTGATAGGTACCTAGAATGATTTCATGTCTTCGCAATTGTGAATAATGCTGCAGTGGACATGCGCATGTGTCTTTTTGCTACAAAGATTTGTCTTCTTTTGGATATGTACCTAGTAATGGGATTGCTGGGTTAAATGGTAGTTCTGTTTTAAGGTTTTTGAGAAATCTCCAAGTGGTTTTCCATAGTGGCTTAACTAATTTACACTCCCACCAACAGTTTATAAGTGCTCCCTTTTCTCTGCAGCCTTTGTCAGCATCAGCTGTTACTTTGACTTTTTAGTAATAGCCATTCTGATTTATATGAGTTTTGATTTGCATTTCTCTGGTGATTAGTGATGTGGAGGATTTTTTCACTTATTTTGTGGCTGTTGTATGGTCATGACCATGTTAATCAATGTAGATTCACCACACTGTCCAGTATGGTGACCACTAGGCAAATATGTCTATTCAAATTTAAAGTTGAATTAATTACAATTAAATAACATTAAAAATTCAGGTTTCTCAGCCACATTGTTCATATTTCCAGCACTCAACAACCATGTGTCTAGTGGACAGCACAGAAGATGTCCACCATTGCAAAATATACTATTATTCAGTGTTGTAAGAGAATGAGAGAGCAACGAGCCATCCATATCTCCATCAATACAGCCAAGCCACAGAGAGGTAGCCACACCCCTCACAGATATGGGCAAATCACAAGTATATAGAACGCTTCCACTGGTGTTTTGTTTTTTAATGAATATGGCATGTATGGGTCTACCTTCTTTTTATTCTTTGATTTCCAAATTTGTCACATGCAATTTCCCATGATCAAATGCAGTGCCCTTCCTAAGAACTTAGCATTCTTACCCTTAGGAGAAATTCTCTTCTCCTGGATTTATTCTCAATGTTGAAGGAATTCTATTGTCAATCCAATCAATCTAAGAAGTAGAAAAATATGTTTTCACAAGCACAAACCCAAGTCTTATAACCACCACCCCAAAGCCCTTCCCCAGCTAACTAGAAGGATTCTTCCTTTCCAACTGTGGCCAGTGTGCCATCCTTCCCCCAAGGCTCAGCAGGAGCTGCACAGAGTATGTCCTGCAATGTCACAATGGGAAGGGCAGACTGAGTGCATATATAGCATCTTAGGTTCATGCAGAATTTTAGTAAAGATAGTCAGGTTGCTTAATCTTAATATTTTCTGTTGCATCTTCAGAAGATCTTAAATTATCAAAAAGCTGAAAGAAATAGTTTTGATATTTTTTCTTCCTTAAAAAATTGTTATTTTCTAGAACGTGTTTTCTCTATTGAACTCATTCCTACAAAGAAATACTAAAGGCAAAAGCCAAGGCTGTAGCAGAAGTCTATTCAAAATATTCTTTGTGTGGACATTAGAGCATTAGTTAACTCACCAGCACCATCCCCAGAGCCAGAGCTCCCTGACAGCTTGATGAATGGTGATGATGGTGTACAAATAAGAAGTAAACAACAACAAAAAAAGGAACACTAATTTCAACCTCCATTAGACTCACAGGGGGGAGAAAATCAATGTTTGACAAATGGAAAATGACAAAATCAGTAAAGGGAGACTTTTATTTTCAATTTTCTAAGAGGCCTTTGCACACAATGAAGTGTTAAAACCAAGAAAAATAATCAGCAAAAAACATACTCAATGGGCTCTATTTAAAATGCATTATCATAAGCTACAAATACAGAGCAGGAAATAATTGCTTTGTTTGTTCAAAAGAAATTTAATGGTTTCTTTAATTCAGAGTAAGTAGCTGCTGCCTTTGAAATTTGATTACATTTTGGTAAGAAGACTATGCATATTGAGTTATCTATTTAGTTATCTATGCTACCATTGGTATACACCACTGAATCATTCATTCATTCATTCATTCATTCAAGAAACATTTATTAAATACCTACAGTTGCTAGGTAGATACATCTACTTACTTTATTTATGTATTAAATAAATGCACCATAACTGGAGGATGGAACTATTAACTGCCCAGGGAAAACAAACAAGTAACAGACAACAGATTGAGATGCTAACAGTCACACTAGACACCAGGAGAGCTTACTAGTTTTTCACAACACTTATTTATAAAATCTTTCCTCCTGAAAGCAGTGCTACAAAGAGAATAGAATTTTGAAACAAAGTCTAACAAAATGTCTCTTGTATGTAATTTCCTTTATAGATAGCAGAAATTGAGTTAGAAATGACAGTCAAGTTTATTTAGATAAGAGACATATCCACAACACTTTGCTAAACCGACCAATCACAAAACACCAATCGGAAATCCTCGGTGTCTTCTAGCTGCAATGTCAGTTACACCTTCCTTCATAATCAAATGCTTTTGGTGCTTAATCCTCTCAACTGCTTTTTATAAACCAATCTGAAGAAAATGAACCATTCCCTTCTTTGTGTTTCATACACTTTACTCATAATTCTATTATTTAATTTTATTAAATATTGATTAGGCTAATTATGAAGCAGTAGAAACAAACAGACCAGGGTCAAATTTCACTTCGGAAATTTTCTAATAGTGTTAACTTGAAGAAACTAAACTTACCCTTTCATTGAATACAATCTTTTTCATCCCCTAAAATGGGAATACTTGGACGGTTGCAGGACTTTTCCTTAGTTCACCTAAAGATGGTGTCCTTGTCTGACCCATGGCAATAAAAATTTAGGCTCACAGACAGTTTGAAAGGTGAGTGAAGCAGGGTTTTACTGGGTGGAAAGTTTAAAAGTGGGGTGGGGGGCGGGGGCAGATACGGGGATCCTCCGCAAGGCTGGAGCCCTTGCTAGGGAGCTTCCCACCCACTGTTCTAATTCCAGATTCCACACAGGAAGAGGAGGGGCCAGGCTTCTCCCCACTGCAAATGTCGTGAACTTTCCAAAGCTCCACCTCAATAGGCAGGCTGGTTGAAGTTTCTGCAGCAACCCACTCCCACCTGGCTATCTCAGTACCCACCTCATAAACCTATAATGAAGATTTATTTAATAAGACACCTAGCTCACGGTCTGGCGTGAAGAAAATACACAGTTGATTGTTAAGGGAATTAACTCAATGAATGGATATCCACACACTTCGCTTTTCCCTCTTATCTCCTATTTGTCAATGTATCTCTCTTTCTTACCTGAGTTTAAGTTTCTTGAGAGTAGGGACCATATTCGATTCACTTCTTTATCTATCCTAGGAACTCAGAGTACACTCAAGAAATGTTTGAAGGAGTGAATGAATGGTAATCTCAGTTCAAGGATTTTATTTCCTTGAATGATTATCTAATTGGCATTTTAACTGTTGCAGGTAGTATTGCT